TATATATATATATATATATATATATATATTCTCTTTTGTGTAATAACATCAAAAACCATATGGTAAAATAAAACAAGAAAAATCTTAGATTCAAGATGGCTTCAATATTCTTTCTTTCCACACCAAGAACCCATAATTGTAACCAACCGTTTATGAAATCTGTAACCTATCTCTTCACTTTTTTGAAACGTTAACTTTAGGATCGACTTAAAGCACACTCGCTGCTAACCTATGATTTTACGATATGATAATTATCTTTATTATATTTTTATTATGTTTATTTTTATTTTTTATTGATATTTTATTATTATTTATTTTGATAATTAAAGTTTTATTTAATAAATTTGGAAAAAATAAGTATTTGATTTATATTATGCTGAGAAGTAGACATCTTAAAATCTAAGAATTATCAACAAAATTAGATAATTCAAAGTTATCAATAGAATTATTTATCAATAGTATTGATTATTTCAATTATAAATTTAAGTACATAAGTTTAATCTAATTAGGAAAATCTTTAAATAGAAGATTTTAGAGTTAAAAAATTAACTCCCTTTTGGAAGAGAGTGGGAACTTGATTTTTGGAGACTAAAGTTATTCTTCGTTATTATTCTTTTAGTACTCATAGAAGTAAATATAACTTCCTTATTCATGGAGGTTGGATATTGGAGGTTGGATATTGGAGGTTGAGAGTAATGTATCTTAATTCTTTATAATTTATGTTATTCAATATATTTCCTTTTCATTATTTTTTTTACTCTGTTCTCAATCTTAACTACATGATAATTTATTTAGTGTCTTCATATTAATTTGGTACATGAAATCTAATCTATTAAAGTCTTTATTGTGACATCCCAAATATATAGCAGATATATATATGCAAAGACATCCCCAATTTATAATATTAGAAAGCAGTTAAGAGATGTACTTAAAGTATTATAGGATTACAGTCTTCCAGAATTTACTAAGAAATTAAAACTTCAAGCACTAGAGTATTCCAAAATATGTCCAGGATTTGAAACTTAAAACATAACAAGGTTCTTCAAAAGGACATAAGGGAACTAAGAATTCCTAGTGAGTCTAAGCTGCAACATCATCTTCATTTCTCTCCAATGTTGCCTCCAAAGAAACCTCATCTTCCTCTGCTCACATCCAAGTGGATGATCATTGCAAAAGAAAACACATACAACAAGCACACAAACAAGCAAGGGTGAACTAATTATATAAAAGCATGCATCATATCAAGCACATAACATACATGAGTTAACTTAAATCAAAGCAGTTTAAGGCATACATCCTAGCATGTTATCTTCTAGACTTGACTCATAGAAGTCTAGAAGTAAATATAACTTCCTTATTCATGGAGGTTGGAGATTGGAGGTTGAGAGTAATGTATCTTAATTCTTTATAATTTATGTTATTCAATATATTTCCTTTTCATTATTCTTTTACTCTGTTCTCAATCTTAACTACATGATAATTTATTTAGTGTTTTCATATTAATTTGGTACATGAAATCTAACTTATTAAAGTCTTTATCATAAGTATTTTCATCAATTTAATTGCATTCCAAATCTTAGATTTATTCTCATAAAATTTAAGTTTTATCATTCAAGATTTTTTTGCCTAAATTGATCTCTTTATCGTATCTTTTTTAGAGTTATTTTCATATCTCCAATGGTGAGTTTTTCTAACTCTCTCAAGTTTCTTGTTTATAAGATCTGAACGAGTTCGTTCAAAAATTAGACTGAACTTAAAATTTGTCCTTGATTTTTACAATTGATTATTTTGTGATATTTTTTTATCTTTAGTTATTCGTGTTTTATTTTTGTAATTGATGTAACTCAATAAGTTGATAACTAAATGTTTTAGATATTTTTCAATTTTCATTTACTTCCAATTATCTATACAATATTTTTACAAATGCAAACCAAATATTTATATTTTTCAATTTATTGAATAAAAACCTTAATTGTAATAATAAAAATACTAATAAAAGATAAAAATAAAGTAATAAAAACAATGATTGCAAATTATCAAACCTAAATCACATAGCGCAAACCATCACGATTACTCGTTAATCTCACTTCATCACTTGCATACTTTAAGCTTATGTTCCTTATTGATTTCATTTACCCCTATGCAAAAAGTCAATTATTATGTTAATTACAAAATTATGTTATTTAATATTATTATAAAATAATATATGAAGACATCTAAACGAAGTAAAGACACAGTATAACAGAAAAATTAAATAATAGTAACTCAATTGAAAAATATATAAATTTTTCCATGGAGTCCTCAGCGGTAGAGATCGAGGTTGTGTTCAGTTTCTACTTGAAGGAAATTACATATATTAAAAAAGCTATGAGACCCTAAACTAGTTATTATGATAAAATTTAAAACTTATCCAAAATGATAATTAGTAAAATGACTTACTATACTATGGTCGACTGATTAATTGGTTGAGCATAATTTTATTAGTTACAACTATCTGTAAAATGACAAGCTATACAACTTCACACAGGTGTGCATTTCAAATAATATACTTTATCAAATGATTCAATTAATTTACTTTACATGGATTAATAAGAAGTTTGCACTACACTACTATAGAAAGCATATTATTTAAAAAATATTTACATCTATTATTCAAATAACAGGTACAATAAATTGCAGTAGTAGAATTGTAGATATCAAAACATATTTATCATTAATTAAAGAACTACAAATATAACATTTCACTTGCTTCTCCCTTTTCTAATTTTTCACCAATGCAATGCGAACTCTCAATCTCTTTTTTCCCGCAATCCCGCAACCTGCAATTTCCTTTATTCAATCACTACTAGATGAATTCTTTCAAAATTGTTTAGATAGAACTTGTTGTTTGATCCTCTAAAATCATTTCATTAGGATATAAAGTAGGTTTTGGAGGTATTTCCAAATCTTCAATGTCTTCTTCAAGCATTTCTACAACTCTGTTCATTGAGGGACGATCCTTTGGTTTTAACTGTATACACCAAAGTGCAATTATGATCATTTTCTTTACTATTAGCTTTTCCTCTTCGCTTAAATCCTTTATATCTATATCTTCCTCTTCTCTAATATGATCATATATCCAAAGGGGAAAGTAAAGTTGACTTGAGTGTTCTGCATTGGGATTTAGATTTTTCCTCTTTCTTGCCATCTCCATCAACAACATTCCGAAACTATAAACATCAGCTTTGTTGGATATTCCTCCAATATTATTGTAAAACAATTCTGGAGCCATATATCCAATGGTTCCTCTTGCTTTTGTCATTGTGACTAAGCTATTATCTATTGGATATAACTTTGCTAATCCAAAGTCAGAAACCTTTGGGATGAAGTTTTCATCCAATAATATTTTATGGGGTTTGATATCAAAATGCAAAATTTGCATCTCACATCCATGATGGAGATAAGCAATTCCACGAGCTACTCCAATCGATATCTTATATATTTTTTCATAGCTAAAATCTGTATTTTCATTTCCTGAAAATATAAATTTATCAAGAGATCCATTGGGCATGAATTCATAAACAAGAGCTCGCTTTGAGCCACTAACACAAAATCCAATTAATTGTACCACATTTTGTTGATGTATTCTTCCGATAGTTGCAACTTCATTGATAAAATCTTGTCCATTTCCTTTGGCTTTACCTAACATTTTGATTGCCACAGAAGGTCCGCTCCGTAACTTTGCCTTAAACACAGAGCCAAATCCTCCTTCACCTAACTTCTCTTTGAAACTTCCCGTCATCTTCTTAATTTCCTTGTATGAGTATCTGATAGGTGTTAAGTGATTTTGTTCAAGGTAATTTTCAATATTTTCATACATTGATGAATGTCTTTTCCTCCATTTACATATGAAAATCACAATTAAGAATGGCAATCCAAACAAAATTTTGTAAGCGGCCATACCAGTAAGCATGCCTGCAAGAAATTTTACATGTGTAGTTACACTGGTAATGTAATATAATAAAGTATTTGTTAAAAAGTAAATTTTCATTCATAAATCGAAACTTTACATATCCATTTAACATTCAAAGAAAGTAAATTCAATGTCTAGCATAAACAACTATTAATAAACTCAATTATGACATTGTCATCTATAAATGAATTTCTCAGTAAGATTAATATGTGCTAAGACCTAATTCAATGAGATTGTCAAAAGAAAAAGCAAATTAGCTTCAGTTTGTGTTCCTCTAACCCTTAGAACGTATTTCCTTACCTCAAATCTGCAAATCATAATCTTTTTATCTTAGGTAAATAACATTAAATAATACCAAGAAAACACAACATTACGGATGGAGAGAAATTCATTGGTAATATAACAATTAAAGTGTCAATAGTTGTCACTCAATGTATTTCTTTCCGTGCCTCAATGGGCTTATTTACTACTATTAAAGTGTCAATAGTTGTCACTCTTTTTAAAGCTATTTCAAAAGCATCTTTGTCCTCGTAATGATAATTGTATGCACTTATCTTGACCAAAACATCCTTGTTTCCTAACCTAAACCTAAGATAAACTTGTTTGATTATGGAATCAAGTGATTCGATCAACATTTACAACCATTTGCTATCTTCCACTATCACCTTGCCACCATCTTTCCTTAGCAACACCAAATTATGCACTTTCAAGGAATTTCTAGCTTACATCCCATCTTGTAGTCCTTGTTTTCTAAATTAGTGCCTCCCATATTACATCCCATCTTTTATATCTTTATTTTCCTCTTCTCTAATATGATTATAATCCAAAGTGAAAACTAAAGTTGACTTGATTTTTTCTACACGGGAATTTAGATTCTTCCTTTTGCTTGTCATCTCCATCAACAACATTATGAAGCTATAAACATTAGCTTTATGAGATATTCCTCCAATATTATTGTAGAACAATTATGGAGGCATATAATGGTTCCTCTTGTTGCCATCTTTGTGACTATGTTATTATCTGTTGAATATAACTTTGCTAATCCAAAGTTAGAAACCTTTGAGATAAAGTTTTCATCGAATAACATATTATGGGGTTTTATATCAAAATGCAAAATTTGCATTCATACTCATGATGGAGATAAGCAATCACACAAGCCACTTTAAATGATATATTATATATTTTTATCAAGAGATCAATTCGACATGAATTCATAAACAATAATGTCTCTCTTTGTTGCTTATAGGGTTTTTGAGGTGAATATGAATGTTTCGTGATGAAAGCTTCGATTGTATTAGTGTTTTTGTGGGTCTAAGTGTGTAAGTGCTATATATTTCCTTATATTGTCATTTTGTCATTCAAGATTGTTATGGGTGTTTTGTGATGGTTGTTCAATTTTTTTTAAGAAAAGTACAAAAGGTTTATGTCAAGTGTTAGGTTTGACGTAAATTTACGTAAAACAAGGTCTTAAATAACATACTTAAAAGACTTTCATATGATAAGATGAATGTGAATCTGGCTATACTTATCTCTATCTTGTAAGAAAAACGTATACGTCTCATTTTTATTAATTAGGTATAAAAGTTGTATCTTATCTTCAACCTCATCAAATAATAATATATTTGTAGCCAATTCTCACAATGTTTTAAATATTAATTAAATGTTTTTCTTAGAAAAATCACAACAAAGAATACATATTTATTATTTAAAATTTCATGATAAGTACAATATTTATTATTTTTTTAAATAATAATTAAATAAAAATTATACATATTTGAAAACATAATTAAATAACAATCATATATATCCTGAAATTTCATGATAACTAATATTTAATATTTTTTAAATGCTAAGAGTGAAAGCGCTTCAAGAATTTTAGTGAATTTAATAGATTTATAACGAGTTGAATCATTGAATGAGAGAATAAAAATTAAGAACTCTTCAAATGAAATGAAATTAAAAAAAATAAAAGGAATGATAAATTTTTTAGTTTATCTTATAAACCACGGATTCACACAATTTAATTCTATAAAGTGGAGGTTTTGCGTTTTTTAAAATGTAATTCTTATGAAGAAAATCAAAAGAAAAAAAATGTATAATTGAAGTTACAAATAAAAGATAAAGTATCCTAAAAAATTTAGTGAATTTAATAGACATCGAATAGGTCTTGCGAGAGAATGCTAAACAATGTAATAGTAAAAGAAGAGTTTTTTGGTGAAATGTAACAAATGATTAAAGAAAATAATATAAATAATTTTTTTAATTACCTAATACATTAAAAATGTTTCATTAATTTAAAACATAGACAACTTTGAGCATTGATGTATATACACACCTCTCTCCATTAAATTTAAAAATATTAAATATTACTCATACTTTTATTCATTTTACTATACAATAAAAATAATTTAAACAAATTTAGATAAGAACACCTTTATTTTTTATCCCTAANAATTAGTAAAATGACTTACTATACTATGGTCGACTGATTAATTGGTTGAGCATAATTTTATTAGTTACAACTATCTGTAAAATGACAAGCTATACAACTTCACACAGGTGTGCATTTCAAATAATATACTTTATCAAATGATTCAATTAATTTACTTTACATGGATTAATAAGAAGTTTGCACTACACTACTATAGAAAGCATATTATTTAAAAAATATTTACATCTATTATTCAAATAACAGGTACAATAAATTGCAGTAGTAGAATTGTAGATATCAAAACATATTTATCATTAATTAAAGAACTACAAATATAACATTTCACTTGCTTCTCCCTTTTCTAATTTTTCACCAATATGCAATGCGAACTCTCAATCTCTTTTTTCCCGCAATCCCGCAACCTGCAATTTCCTTTATTCAATCACTACTAGATGAATTCTTTCAAAATTGTTTAGATAGAACTGGTTGTTTGATCCTCTAAAATCATTTCATTAGGATATAAAGTAGGTTTTGGAGGTATTTCCAAATCTTCAATGTCTTCTTCAAGCATTTTTACAACTCTGTTCATTGAGGGACGATCCTTTGGTTTTAACTGTATACACCAAAGTGCAATTATGATCATTTTCTTTACTATTAGCTTTTCCTCTTCGCTCAAATCCTTTATATCTATATCTTCCTCTTCTCTAATATGATCATATATCCAAAGGGGAAAGTAAAGTTGACTTGAGTGTTCTGCATTGGGATTTAGATTTTTCCTCTTACTAGCCATCTCCATCAACAACATTCCGAAACTATAAACATCAGCTTTGTTGGATATTCCTCCAATATTATTGTAAAACAATTCTGGAGCCATATATCCAATGGTTCCTCTTGCTTGTGTCATTGTGACTAAGCTATTATCTATTGGATATAACTTTGCTAATCCAAAGTCAGAAACCTTTGGGATGAAGTTTTCATCCAATAAGATATTATGGGGTTTGATATCAAAATGCAAAATCTGCATCTCACATCCATGATGGAGATAAGCAATTCCACGAGCTACTCCAATCGATATCTTATATATTTTTTCATAGCTAAAATCTGTATTTTCATTTCCTGAAAATATAAATTTATCAAGAGATCCATTGGGCATGAATTCATAAACAAGAGCGCGCTTTGAGCCACTAACACAAAATCCAATTAATTGTACCACATTTTGATGATGTATTCTTCCGATAGTTGCAACTTCATTGATAAAATCTTGTCCATTTCCTTTGGCTTTACCTAACATTTTGATTGCCACAGAAGGTCCGCTCCGTAACTTTGCCTTAAACACAGAGCCAAATCCTCCTTCACCTAACTTCTCTTTGAAACTTCCCGTCATCTTCTTAATTTCCTTGTATGAGTATCTGATAGGTGTTAAGTGATTTTGTTCAAGGTAATTTTCAATATTTTCATACATTGATGAATGTCTTTTCCTCCATTTACATATGAAAATCACAATTAAGAATGGCAATCCAAACAAAATTTTGTAAGCGGCCATACCAGTAAGCATGCCTGCAAGAAATTTTACATGTGTAGTTACACTGGTAATGTAATATAATAAAGTATTTGTTAAAAAGTAAATTTTCATTCATAAATCGAAACTTTACATATCCATTTAACATTCAAAGAAAGTAAATTCAATGTCTAGCATAAACAACTATTAATAAACTCAATTATGACATTGTCATCTATAAATGAATTTCTCAGTAAGATTAATATGTGCTAAGACCTAATTCAATGAGATTGTCAAAAGAAAAAGCAAATTAGCTTCAGTTTGTGTTCCTCTAACCCTTAGAACGTATTTCCATACCTCAAATCTGCAAATCATAATCTTTTTATCTTAGGTAAATAACATTAAATAATACCAAGAAAACACAACATTACGGATGGAGAGAAATTCATTGGTAATATAACAATTAAAGTGTCAATAGTTGTCACTCAATGTATTTCTTTCCGTGCCTCAATGGGCTTATTTACTACTATTAAAGTGTCAATAGTTGTCACTCTTTTTAAAGCTATTTCAAAAGCATCTTTGTCCTCGTAATGATAATTGTATGCACTTATCTTGACCAAAACATCCTTGTTTCCTAACCTAAACCTAAGATAAACTTGTTTGATTATGGAATCAAGTGATTCGATCAACATTTACAACCATTTGCTATCTTCCACTATCACCTTGCCACCATCTTTCCTTAGCAACACCAAATTATGCACTTTCAAGGAATTTCTAGCTTACATCCCATCTTGTAGTCCTTGTTTTCTAAATTAGTGCCTCCCATATTACATCCCATCTTTTATATCTTTATTTTCCTCTTCTCTAATATGATTATAATCCAAAGTGAAAACTAAAGTTGACTTGATTTTTTCTACACGGGAATTTAGATTCTTCCTTTTGCTTGTCATCTCCATCAACAACATTATGAAGCTATAAACATTAGCTTTATGAGATATTCCTCCAATATTATTGTAGAACAATTATGGAGGCATATAATGGTTCCTCTTGTTGCCATCTTTGTGACTATGTTATTATCTGTTGAATATAACTTTGCTAATCCAAAGTTAGAAACCTTTGAGATAAAGTTTTCATCGAATAACATATTATGGGGTTTTATATCAAAATGCAAAATTTGCATTCATACTCATGATGGAGATAAGCAATCACACAAGCCACTTTAAATGATATATTATATATTTTTATCAAGAGATCAATTCGACATGAATTCATAAACAATAATGTCTCTCTTTGTTGCTTATAGGGTTTTTGAGGTGAATATGAATGTTTCGTGATGAAAGCTTCGATTGTATTAGTGTTTTTGTGGGTCTAAGTGTGTAAGTGCTATATATTTCCTTATATTGTCATTTTGTCATTCAAGATTGTTATGGGTGTTTTGTGATGGTTGTTCAATTTTTTTTAAGAAAAGTACAAAAGGTTTATGTCAAGTGTTAGGTTTGACGTAAATTTACGTAAAACAAGGTCTTAAATAACATACTTAAAAGACTTTCATATGATAAGATGAATGTGAATCTGGCTATACTTATCTCTATCTTGTAAGAAAAACGTATACGTCTCATTTTTATTAATTAGGTATAAAAGTTGTATCTTATCTTCAACCTCATCAAATAATAATATATTTGTAGCCAATTCTCACAATGTTTTAAATATTAATTAAATGTTTTTCTTAGAAAAATCACAACAAAGAATACATATTTATTATTTAAAATTTCATGATAAGTACAATATTTATTATTTTTTTAAATAATAATTAAATAAAAATTATACATATTTGAAAACATAATTAAATAACAATCATATATATCCTGAAATTTCATGATAACTAATATTTAATATTTTTTAAATGCTAAGAGTGAAAGCGCTTCAAGAATTTTAGTGAATTTAATAGATTTATAACGAGTTGAATCATTGAATGAGAGAATAAAAATTAAGAACTCTTCAAATGAAATGAAATTAAAAAAAATAAAAGGAATGATAAATTTTTTAGTTTATCTTATAAACCACGGATTCACACAATTTAATTCTATAAAGTGGAGGTTTTGCGTTTTTTAAAATGTAATTCTTATGAAGAAAATCAAAAGAAAAAAAATGTATAATTGAAGTTACAAATAAAAGATAAAGTATCCTAAAAAATTTAGTGAATTTAATAGACATCGAATAGGTCTTGCGAGAGAATGCTAAACAATGTAATAGTAAAAGAAGAGTTTTTTGGTGAAATGTAACAAATGATTAAAGAAAATAATATAAATAATTTTTTTAATTACCTAATACATTAAAAATGTTTCATTAATTTAAAACATAGACAACTTTGAGCATTGATGTATATACACACCTCTCTCCATTAAATTTAAAAATATTAAATATTACTCATACTTTTATTCATTTTACTATACAATAAAAATAATTTAAACAAATTTAGATAAGAACACCTTTATTTTTTATCCCTAATCAATTCAGAACAAATATTAAGAAAAGTATACACACTAGTACAATAATAAAGAAATACACCGGTTAGTTTTTCTTATAGGCATCGGTTGTAGAACCGATGCATACATGGACGAGGTAAAAAGGACACGTTTTATGTCTTGGTCAGATGTCGAGATAAAACAGTACAGAATTATGCCTCGGTTATCTAAGAACCGAAACATTATATTTTTTTTTTCTCAGATTTTAGTACACAATGGAACCGTGCTCTTCAGATCCAAAAATCAATTTTCATGTCACAGAGAATTCCCATTGCCGGATCATGTGTAAACCTTCAACCCGAGAAGTGGCTCTGACGGTTGAGTGGTGCAAGTGAAATTGCTTTTCTGCAACAAGAAAATCCCAAAACCAGAAAATCCAAAACCAGAAAATCCCAAAACTAAAAATCCAAAACCAGATATGAAGAAGAAGCAGAAGAACAAGAGTAGATTTGACAACAAGCAGAAGAACCAAGAAGCTCCCTTAGGGTTTCCAATCACTCGCGGAGGGGAAGAATGGCTGAGGCAGCAGCGACAACGGCAGATCTGGAGCGGTGGCGGATTTGGAGCGGCAGCAGCGACGGCGGATCTGGAGCGGCAGATCTGCAGCGGCGGTCGTCTGGAGGCAGCGGCGGTCGTCTGGACTGTGCACGGCAATGGGAAGAATGGGAGAGCACAGAGGGGAAGGGAGAGCACCGAGAAATAAGATGTTGTTCGAGTGTGAAAATATGAAAAGGTTCAGAGTATAGGTAGTAACTGTATAGGCAGCGGTCGTCTGGGTAACCCGAGGCAATAGCGCTTTTTCAAAAAAGTTGTATCCTCGGACATATGTATAGGTCTCGGGTCTGCTTCTAACCGAGACAGTATTACCATTCGACCTCGGGTCAAGTTGTAACTGAGGCATATAGTCTTTTACGCTTCGGATTTTGTGTAACCGAAGCGTATATGACGTGTTAGTTTCCCGTTTTTTTACTAGTGACAGACGATTGTATCTTTAACCGTGACCAAATGTTCTATTATTTGAATAGCATTTCTACTAATGATAATTTTAAAACTACTGTTAAAAAGTCTATTTTAATCATTGTTAAAAGCTCTACTCCTCTTGTAATTAAAGTATTGAGAAATTAAGATGATAAGATCTTACCAGGTAACACCGGTGACAATTGTAATGCCGTTATGTCTGAAATGAAACAAAACATCAACTTTAGGATTCTGATTATCTCAACAGTTATTAATAGCGGTAAACAAGTTTAAAAGCTTTTCATTTATTTTAAAATAATAAATGTTAATTTAATGCAGAAGTTCTTATAAATGCATGTAAAATATAAAAGATAAAAATATTATATTTCTTTCTAAAAGTTCGTTGAATTATTAACATAAATGATTCAAACTTTGTTTCAAAAAATTCTCAAAAAGTGGATGAAATATGATTTTCCTAATAACTTGAATATGTATAATTATGTAAAATGTTAATTGAAGACAATCGAGTATCAATTAAAGAAATAAAAAACATAAATGATTTAATTTAACATGAAAAGTAGACAAAATTAGAATAATCGTACAAAGATTGTTATTATAGAAAGTGAAGTGAATGGGTAAAGCAATGGAATACAATAAAATGTGGCAAGTTAAAAGGATCAAAACATTTTAATTTTTTCAAGGGATGATCACAATAAATTCAGATAGGTAGAAATTACTAATTGTGTGCCTCCTATAAAAAAAACGAGTATCAAATAAAGATAAAAAATATAAACAAAATTATGCTTTAATTAAATAAAATATTAATTTAATTTAGCACGAAAAGTAGACGAAGTTAATAATATACGACGCACCAAATGGATCGCAAACAAGCGTCTGGCTAGAAGAGTTGAAATCGCAAAAATCTTTAGGACAATGATTCTGACAGGCGAGGTTTATCCAAGAGATCTCAAATCCATAGGCGAGAGCCCTGTGAATGGCAGCGTATGAATGCTTATTGAAAGTCCCGAACGATGTGGGAGCAACAAGCTTCACGTCACACCCAACTTCTAAGTCCTCAGCTTTTAGGTCTCCACCAACTGCATATGCATAGCCTTTTGAGTCCCACTTCACGCACTCACCACTCTCCACATACTTCCCGTTCTCTCTCACCGAATGGTTACAGTTCAGAAACACTATATGCTCGAAACTCAGAGATTCCCCATTTAGATACAGATATAGACTGGCTATGTATAGATCCGCGGAGTCAGTGTAAGTATCAGAGAAATTGGAGCGAGAGAGGGAACGAAGAGGAAGGGAGGAGCAGTTGTGGTGTTGAAGAGCAGGGTCAACCACTCTCACGGTGTAGTTGTCGTAGTTGATTGCCTGAACATGGAATTGTGCAGAGTTCAGATACAACACAGTAACATTATTCTGACAACCAAGCTCGTACCTTTCGTCACCACAATTCTCTGGGTGGCCTTGTAATCGAAATGGATAAGTGATGTTGGTGATGTAGCCGCAGGAAGAAGGGGGACAAAGGTGTTCTTGGTGGTCCTTGGTAGCACAAATATGGTGGATTAGAATAAGTAAAAGTACCACCAACAATGTTCTCTCTCTGCTCATCATGTCCAAACTGTTTCTCATTCAATTCAAGTGCAACCAATTCCAAGTTATATATATATTGATTTTTAAACAACACAGACTCAATATATAATCCTAAGGGACCACATCTTTCCTTTCAGAGAATACATTGAAGACTTATGATACTTCAAACGTAGACTTTGACTGAGAGACCGCGTTTCTATCTGGTTTCTACGACTGGATTTAATGAATACAAAATTTTAGAAATTCGTGAACTGCATGAATTCTGATTTAGCTATTTAATCATGTAATTTTTTTTTAATGGAGTTCTTCGAGTTTCTAAAATCATCCTAAATTGTTCTAACTTGAAGCTTTTATTTACATGCTGTCTAAAATAATTTTTAGGAAATTAGTTTGGAAGCCAAATTGAACAAATAGTCATGTTGGCACCCATCTCTTCATTATGTAAATCCTTATGTCTTCTAACATGCTAATAATAGGCTTAGACCTACTATCAACTAGCACACTATTAAAGCCCTCACACATGTTGTTCACAAGAGTGTCACATTTGATCTAGAGGTGAATCTAGATCTTGACCAAACCTGGGATAAGTGAATATAACTAGTCAAGTATGTGTCATGGCAAGCAAATATTTAAATAATTATAAGAGTTAATAATTACAAGACTTAATACATACCTAGGTGGGATGGCAAGCAGATATTTAAATGCGTCTAAATTGATGTCTTTAATATTCCTCATTTCAGCCTCTCATTGTTGTGGGTGTGTGGTTGTTGTTGCCCGCCACATGAGACGTTTAAGGTTTTTTCCAGGAAATTTTTTTCTGAAGTTTGAATATAAATGCCTAACACAAAATCTTTGTTCTACACCAGGTAGAAGATCTTGGATAGCTGGCAAAAGACCTTGACATATTCAAGATATTTTAATTAACATTTGTTTAATGAAGATATTCAGTTATATGTACAAGATATTGAACATTGACTGACCTTTTGTTGGTCTGAAATAAATGTGCATCCTGCACATACAGCTGCCCCACCAAGGTTCTCAATAAGGTGCTCCAAGAACCAAGTCCAGGAGTCTTTGTTTTCTACCTCAACAATAGCATATGCTATGGGCAACATTTGGTCGTTTCCATCTCTTCCCACTGCTGTTAGTAACTCCCCTCCATACTTGCTTTTTAGAAAGCATCCATCCAAGCCAATAATAGGTCTACAACAAATGAAGTTATCCTTGCATGCCTTCAAGCATGCATAAAATCTTTGGAATATGACCTCACCATTACTGTTATCAACTTTAATTTGTACTGTTGTACCTGGATTTGTTTTCAGCAGCTCATGACCATAATCGTGAAGTCTTCTATATTGATCTTTGAATGATCCTTCAACCTTATATTTTGCCATTGCTCTTGCCCTAAAAGCCATATTTCTTGAAATTCCTACATTCCATTTCCTAGTAACTTTGTCCCTAATGTCCATGACCTTCATTGTAGGATTTTCTCTCACAGTTTTCTCTATCCTTTGACTCAACCACTTTGAAGTCATCAACTATACATTGAAATCTCTATTACAGTTGTGAACATCAAACACTTTTCTCAGTTGCCATGCACTGACATCAGTCCTAAAGGAATAATACGCATACCATTTACAATTTCCTCTTCCACCCAAGCACTTCACAGAAATCCTTTTCTTGTCATTCTTAATAAATTTTAAACTTCTCCCATTACTTAGTGCATAAGTCCTTATGGCATCTGTGAATTCATTTTTCTCAGCAAAATAGGTTCCTACTTCCCATTTATAACCCACCAAAATTTTAGGCATACTAAAAGTGGGAAACCTTATCTTAGTCGACCCATCATTGTCCTCACTATCTGATCCACTAATCAACTCCTCTAATAGCCACTCATTGTCAGACAACCCACAGACATCATGAATAAATTCATTATCTGTTGACCGTTCAGACTCAAGTAATGCACTGAAAGCTTGTTCTCCCACATTTCCTTTAGAAGTCCCAATGTCACAATGCACACTGACATCAATTAGACTTCCTTCACTCACACTTACATCTTCGTTCTCAATCTCTGCCTCATGTACATCATCACCCTCACTGTCCTCTACATCATCATCCTCTCCTAAATCCTCTAACTCAAAATCATCTACATCATGTACCTCAGCTTCCTCTACATGATGGACCTCACCATCCTCAACCTCATGGACGTCAACATCCTGACCATCACCCTCATGGGCATCACCCTCACCCTCAACCATTTTTGTACCAACATCACTATGATCCTCACCATCACCCTCATACCCATCACCTTCACCCTCATGGGCATCACCCTGACCCTCAACCATTTTTGTTCCTACTGCAGTATGATCCTGACCATCACCATCATGGGCATCCCCCTCACCCTCCACCATTTATGTTCCAACTTCAGTATGGACCTCACCATCACCCTCATGGGCATCCCCCTCACCCTCCACCATTTCTGTTCCAAGTTGACCATCACCAACAACCTCAACCTCCTCCACTTGTGTTGCAACATCACCTTCATCATCAACTTGACCACCAACCCAATCAATCATTTCTATTATTTCTGGTTCCATCATATTATGAACCACATACAGATGAACTTCATCATTTAACCTAGCAATGTTCAACATGTGCATGACACCCCTATCATCAGTTAATAATTCTAACCTATCTAGGTCCACAGACTGACCTCCTAAACCGTACCATAATTCTTTGATGTCCATATGACCTAATTCTTTGACTGAGGCTACTATGCCAAAATAGCTCCACAAGTCTGGATCATAAGACCATTCTGCTATCTCTCCTTCAAATTTTAACTTCCCATTATCATAACTGACAAAATTTTCACAATGGTGGACCACCACCTTAATACGTTCCTCATCCATATGAACAAGTTGCTTTTATAACCTATACATTATGGGGGTTAACAAATGTTTCGAATATTACAGTCCTACCACTACGGAAACACTCACTCACTAACTAAACACTCACACCGACACAGACAGGGAACAAAGTAACATCCCCACTAACGAAACACTCACAGACAGGGGACCACTACAGCTGATAAACAATTCAACAAACAAAATTCGGGACCACAATGTCTAAACTACAATGTAACAATTCAACATGCAAAATGGGAACCATAAATCACTATAAAAATTGTTACAGACCAAGACAAAAACCCAATTGTCGAAGGGCTATTGCCTCGGTTGTTTTAGGTTTATGACAGCGGTTACAGAACCGAGATATATTCAAGCGAGGTAAAAAGTCTGGACTTTTGATCTTGGTTCAAAAACCAAAGTAAAAAACTTATGATTTTGCCTCGGTTCAAAAAACCCGAAGCAGTAAAGCAAATAAAAAATATGTCTATTGCCTCGATTTTGATTTGAATCGAGGCTGTAAACCCTTAAAAATAATTAATTTAAGGGTCTATGACCTCGGTTGGGGTCCAGAACCGAGGCAATAGACCCTTTTTTTGCCCTGGTTCTTACTAGAATCGCTATCTAAAATAATTTTTTTTAAAAAGAATTTTTTCATTTTTGCAAACATTCCATAGCATATACACAAGAACACAAACCCAGAAGCAGACCTGTAATCTGAAGTTTAAAAAATATTTGCATTGTAAATCTTAAAAAGACTCTAACTTTCACTCCGGTTAATCGTTTTCTATTTTTACAAAAAAAATGTTTTTTTTTGAAAATTTGCAAAACGAAAACATGTTACAAAAACTTGAAGGTTGAAGGTGGCTTCTATGTGAAACAAAACGAAATAAACATCCAAAGAGCACATGCGCACAAAATTAATCAATAAAAATGAAAGACAATGACAGAGAAACAATTAATAAACGAAAAAACGAAAGAAAAAAATGAAAGAAATGGAAGATGATGGTCTGGAAGGCATGGAGAGAGCAGCGACGCAAAGGAGATTACAAATGTTTCAAATGTGCAAGAGACTATGTTTGCGAAATATAACCCTAAAAACATGTTATTACCTTGGTTATTTTTTTTAACCGAGGCAATAAGGGTCTGTGTCATCGGTTTTATAAAGAACCGCTGCCTAAACCATCTCAAAAAAATAAAATAAAAATTCAGTTATTTTATGCCTCGGTCCTCTAAATAACTAAGGTCGTAGACTTTTGCGATAATTACAAAAATGTCACCGCGTTAGTTTTAGGCATCGGTTATTTTTGAACCGAGGTATATACCTTTGCAATAATTACAAAAATGTCACCGCGTCAGTTTTAGGCATCGGTTCTTTTTGAACAGAGTTATATACTTTTGTGATAATTAGAAAATTGTCACCGCACCATTTTTTGCTTCAATTACAACTAAACCGATGTCAAATGTGTGAGTTAAAATCCTTTTTTTACTAGTGTTAAGATTGTTGTAGAAAAATTGACAAAATATACGAACAAAGATTTTCTGAGATCCAAAACTAGCGAGGAACTCTAAAAGGAGTAGAAAATAAACCAGGATATTTTTAGGAAGAAAAAAAAGAGAAAGAATGAAATTAAGAGAAAAGAAGAATGAGAGAAAAGTGTTCTATGTTTTAGAAAAGCAAATGAAAGTCTATTTATATATATTCTATGATGGAATTAACCCTCCTTATCTTGAGGAAAAAGTAAAAAAAATATATATATAAAGCACACATTAGTAACCTTCCAATGTTAAAAAAAATGTTACAATGTATAAAACAAAATCCAACAATATTTAACCGAAGCTTTTACGGAGAAAGTTGGTGCCAACTGATTTTACAATACACTAGTACAGTAAAGGGAAACGACAGCGGTTATTTTCGCTGATAGGCACCGGTTCCTGAACCGAGGCATATTCGGGCGAGGTAAAAAGCAGTGGACTTTATGCCTCGGTTTTAAAACGGGACATATAATAATACGATTAGGCCTCGGTTCTAACAACCGAANACCATCACCCTCATGGGTATCCCCCTAACCCTCCACCATTTCTGTTCCAAGTTGACCATCACCAACAACCTCAACCTCCTCCACTTGTGTTGCAACATCACCTTCATCAT